CCATGTTTGGCTTTTTTCAAGCAAAGAACTGAATGATTTCATCCTGCCCCCCATTAGACTCCCCCCCCCCCCCCATGGTAACAAACATCTCTACTCAGCATCATGAGAACATCATCAGTGTCCAACCTGTGATGAGTCATATGATGCAAGTCATGAGCAGACGGTGCTTTCATGGAGAAATGTGCACTCTAATGGGGTGCAGGATGAAATCATTCAGTTCTTTGCTTGAAAAAAGCCAAACATGGGTGGAGAACATTTGTTAGGCTGTTGTTTGAAAGCAAAAGAAATAGGCAGCCACCATGTGTTGACAGTGGCTGCTGATGGGGAATCCGGTACGAAGGAAGCACAGAAGATTTTTAATGTTTTTATTATAAAAGTCGTTGGAACTAAAGCCGTTGGAAGTTTCACTCCTTGTTCAAACAGAGCCAAGCCCTTTACAGCAGAATGCGTGGAGACAGTTCGTTTACCCTTTTAGCAACTTTGTCACAAACGCACACAAAAAATAACGTGGACAGTTCACTGGAGTTTGATGATTGCAAAAATACAACATAAACCAGAATTTTGTAATTTGAAAATACTATACAGTGTAAATGTAAAACATTTTAAGTGGTGTCACTGGTGTTTCTGCTAAAGGGTTAACTCGAGACAAAAGTGGCTATTTTGATTTTAAAGGTTGTCTAACTGGTCATTCCTGATATTCAACTTGGACATGTTGGTTTTAAAGGTTCAACTAGACTTTGTTGCTTTATAATCACAGAGGTGGTTTCTGGAAGAAAGTTTAAAATTTGCAGCAATAGGCACCCGTGGGCAAACAATGGCAGATTTTTTTGCCAGAAGAAAGTCAAGAAGAGAAAGTATCTTTAATTTGTCCTTGAGTTTGCATAACTGTACTTCTGTAGGTCTAATAAATTAAAATGATAAATGGCAGCATCTTTAATTGATTATCAATAATAATCAATTAAAGATGCTGCCATTTTTTTAAATAATAACTTGAAGTTGGCAACAGCAAAGTTGAAGTCAGGGTCGGCAGCAGAAAAATGCAGAGAAAACAATTTTGGGAAGTAGAAAAAGAAGGAAGGATCCTGTGGTTGTGTCCAAATTAGGCTAAAAATGGACTTGCCTCCCAATTCCCTCACACATTCAGACACACTCAGCCAAAATAATCTTCCACCTCCCTCTTTTTACAGCTTAAATTATGTTCAGCTGGCTATCTTTACTCACTTTAACACTTTACTACACATGCCAGAACTTTAAATGGTTTGCATCTTAAACTACCAAGAAGTTAATTAAATTTATGGCTAGAATTTTCTTAGCACAAATTATTCATTTACTGTATAAAGTTTTCCCATTTTAAAATTATTTGTGGTAAAACATGCAAACGCTTTTATTTAATTAAAAAGTTATAGATAAATGTAACCCAAGTAAACAGTAAAAAATAATTTTAATCACGCAAAAAACTTGCACAAATATTGAACACTGACTTCATTATATATTTCGCTATCTATTCTTTGCTCATAAACACTGATTTATATACAGTGTAACAGTGAAGTCACCAACTCTGGTTAGAAACTGCTGCGACTCAGACAAATGTTTGGCGAAGCAGGTTATTCAAGCAGGTGTTCCAAGATGGCCGCGCTCAGCCGAGCTGTAGCTTCACAGGCTCCCGGTGAACTTGACCTTTTTTGGTTCCTGTTACTTTTGTTTAAACTTTTTTTTGCACCTACAATGCCCATCCATGATACGGGTATGACCGTGACACACGTGGAGTTTTCTGTGTCGCTGCTTCGCCACCTTGCCATCGTGGTTCAGTCCTTCCAGCCTCGGGCTCAGGACTGTCATGGCGGCTGTCTCCATGATCCTCCATCTGCCTGCACAGATTGAGCTCTACAGACCAGTTTGGTTCCGCGGGAAAACCTGGACGTTCTTCGTCTGCCGGACTCAGTTCTGGAGGGCAGTCTGGGAGGGCAGCTGCTGTGGTCACTGTTACCATCGGGCTGCTGACGGGACCTGCTAACTAGACTTGCTAACGCTGCTAACAAGCTCCTCCACCTGCCTGAACGGACCGAACTCTGCGGACCCGCCTGGTTCCGCGGGGGAATGTTGGATGTTCTCTGTATGCCAGACCCAGTTCTGGAGGGCAGTCTGGGAGGCAGCTGCTGCGGTCCTCATTATCGTCATGCTGCTGACTGGACCTGCTAACAAGACTTGCTAATGTTGCTAACAAGACCATGCCGCTAACAGTATCATGCTGCCAACTGGACCATGCTGCTAAAATAACCTCACTGTCATCAGAACCACTCTGCCAATAGGACCATGCTGCAGTAGATTGATTTATTTTTCAATTTTGGCGCCTTATTTCTGTATTTTTGTTGCATGCTTTGAATAAATCTTAGTTTATATTAGTTTAGTTTATGCTAGTTTAGTTTATGTTAATTCTCACATTAAAGTGTGTGAACTAAAGCCACCCATGAGAATCGTGCTGCTGTTGTTCGGTGTATTGTTTTGCACTATTATTGTTTAGCGTATATCTTAGATCTTTTAGCGTACCGTTTGGCGTTCGTTTAGCGTATATCTTAGTTTATTATCTTAGATCCTTATTTGCTGTTTCTTTTTACAATTTACATGTTTGCTATTGTTGGATGTAACTGGGACCCTGTGTACACAATTTTGTTCCACCTCATTTACCACATGCGATGCGAATGACAATAAAGAACCTTGAATCCTTATGTTCTGCAGAGCGAAAAACCAACAGCAACGTTTGACTCCAAACTCTAAATATGTTTTCAGCACAGGAACAGCTTATCCATTATTTATTCATGAAATTAAATTTAAAAGACCTGAGTCACTTGGTTGAAAATAAAGCAAACACCAGTACAGTCAGAAACCACGAGCACCATTCTACTACCAAAGCAGCAAAGTAGATTAATATAGATTCAAGCAGCGGAACATTCTCTACTTTCAAAACTCAACTTTGCTGCTTTGACAGCCCAGATTTTTACAAACCTGCAATTAAAATGTTCAACTTTGCACTAGAAGTGTCCTTTAGAGTAATTAGGCCATAGTATCACAATATATTATAAGACTAAAAACACCACTTTAAAGCATAAATCTGTTAGTACATGCAAGATAAGTACTACCTGGCATCAGACTCGCTGTAGTACTCTCGAGCAACGATGTCCTCGAACAGTTCTCCTCCTGTGACTCTGCACACACACGCGCACACACACACACACACACACACACACACAGAAAACGTCCAGGTGAACTGACTGAGAAGTCCAGAAACATTTCCATGCAACAGCAAAAGTGATTAAAACACATTTTACCTGTTTAGCCACATGTTTTGTTGATTTTTGTTTGCCAAGAGATTTAATTTTCAGCTTCACAGGCTGTACTGGTGCGTTAACAAACCGTTTAATGATTGATGAAAACTTGTATAAGCTTTTTTTCATCTACTTTGCTTTTATATTTTTCTTGCACTACATAGAAAATTGAAACAATATGTAAGATTTCAGCAAAGCTTTTAAAGAACTGTTTTAAGCCACTGTTAAATTAGTAATTTTGCCATGTTCCTGAACTTAAACTTATGTATGCTGATAGCATTATTGCATGTTTTATCATTTATTGTTACTTGTTTTTCATGTTTGTTTGTCTTGACAAGTTCTACTTGCCTTTTGGTCAGATCTCAGTAGGATTTTTTTTTTCAGATCAAATAAATATAATGTATATGTAACAAGTGTTCAAAGTGTGACCTAATATGTGCTGACAAATGATAAAAATAAAATAAATGTTATTTCAGCAGATGAAAACAAAAAGTGCAAAATAAACTATCTATATTTACTGCAATCTAAATGAGTAACAGACAGTTTTGTATTAAACTGAGTATGAAAAAGCTAAAATATACTAAAAGTCTACAACATGCCAGAAAAAGAGCACTGATCTAATAACAGAAGTTAGATATTTTTATCTGAAGCACTTTATGTATGATAAAGGAATCACGTCTTCCCTGATTAATGATTTTTTTATTTGTGGTCTTCACTTTACCCAAACAGACTTCTGAAGTTATGAACTTTCACTATTACCTAACTTTGTCCTGCTATTTGTAAATGAAGCTGACGTTAAAAGCAATGTGTCTGTGTGCGCATGTGCTAATGTGATTTACTTACAGGTCAAAAATGAGGTAATGGAAGCCTTCTTCCGCGATGCTGTCATGCAGTCGCACTAAAAAAAAAAAAAAAAAAAATAAAAACACAGTCCAATTAAAAATGGGTCAGACACCACTGCTTGTGGGAATTAGCTTCAATAAATAGTAAATGGACTGTACCTATATTGCACCTTTCTATCTTATCAAGACGGTCAAAGCACTTTACACTACAATCTGTACCTCATATACCATTCATACAGCACTCTACAATATATATATATATATATATATATATACAAAGAATAATCAGTGCTTTATCACATTCATACAATGATGGGACACACATCGGAGGCAATGAGGGGTTCAGTGTCTTGCCCAGGGACACTTCAGCATATGACTACTGGTGGAATTGAACCCCCAACTCTTGCATTTGTGGACGACTGCTCTAACCACTCAGCCACAGCCGCCGCACATAAAGCAAACCTAAATGAAGGATCACTGAAATGAAAGCTTATGTGAACACGTTGAAGCAGTTTGAACTATCTGATGATTTTTAGCTAATGTGCAGTGTATTCACATAACTTTTATTGCTTTGGTTAGCAATCTTCTATGATATATTAATATTGCTGGGCCTGCACAAGTAAAGAAAATAACAGTGTCATTCTGCATTTAGTTCAAAGAATAAGAATCAAAGGTTACAGAATAAGCCCTGGAAAGGAAGGCAGCTATGAATGACTGAAATCATGTCAGAAATTGCCTCAACATGTTTAAACTATGTGATGATGCTTTATGAGAGTTGTTTTTCTGAGAAAATGAGCGTTCAAGTTCCTGGAAGACAAAAAAAATGCTTTATTGTCAATTTTCTTCAAGCATGTCACATTTTGGAAAAGAAAAAGAAAATAAAAAAAATGACAAAATATGGGGTGTGGTTGTGGAAGAAGAAAACAATGAAGAAGGATAAAACCTTCAGGAAGTTATCACACTCTTCATGTCTGTGTGTGGGCTCACCCAGCACAGATAACATGCAGAAACGTTGTCATTTCCTCCCCTTCCAAAAAACCATTGCCTTTGTTTCTGAACCTTACACTCAAAGAACAAGAGGTTTCACAATTGAAGCTGTAAAGAAGGTTTACAATATTTACAATGATTAGAGGAATTCCAAACTAAATAAATCTTCAAACTACCTAATGCTTTAGAGCAGGGTTTCCTGACACTTTATGATATTCAAGCAAAGTTGACTTCTAGTTCTCCAACAGGACAGAAATTTAGAAGAATCAAAAACATAAAGGGAGGTTAGTAATGTTGAGGAAACGATCTATTAAAGTTTAAGCTTCAGACATAAAAAGCACAGATGAACAGCAGCTGACTGAACTCCTGTTGAAGGTAAGGCTCACTTTGCCAGCTTAGCTGCTGGCCAGCTGCACCATGCAAATGTCCGTCACAGAAACTCAGCATGTAGATGACTAGTTCGACTATTATCAAGAAACAATTTTCTGCTGAGTTATTATTAAACTGAACACTGCTGAAATGAAACAAAACAACAACAAAAAAGAGGAAACTTGTTTTGACAATTCTCCAGCCCCACCGTGTGAAATAAAACAATACGCATAGTTTGAGGATAAAAGGAAACTGAGGGTTCTATTTCGTATAGGCTTTGCCCTTTAAGACTATCGCTAGTGGGTTTATTCCTTTGCACGCAGTGCAGCACTGAAAACTTTAGTCCACGCCCACCTGCTGTGTGGGCATCACCCCCAGTCCATATAAATTACGGTGAGACCTGGTAATCGGCTCCCATTTTTTCTTCAGCCAGCTAGCTAGCACTGTCAGAAGAACGAAGAAGGAAAAGTTGTCCAGCTTTGACCGGCACAACCTTTGCTAAGGATGCCTGGGCCTTCGCCATGCCAACCTCCTGCCATACCAGTGAGCTCTTCCTCCCCGAGGAGAAGCAGAGACGAGCAGCCTTGTTCAAGGTAAGCGCCGAGGAGTGCTTTTCCGTGGCAGGCCACTACCCGCTGGACGACGCCATCGCATTTTCTAATGTTTTTTCCTCGTGTGAATCAGAATATTCCCTCGAAAAAGGCGATGTTAGCAGCAGCTCCGTAAGTGGGTTTTTTTTTCCGTGGAGGGCTGCTACTCGCTGGACAATGCCACCACCTTTTTTAACGTGTTTTCCTTGCGGTGAATCGGATGATTCCCTCGAAAAAGGCGATTGGGCAGCAGGTCCACCGAGTGGTTTTTTTTCCGTGGCGGAACGCTACATGCGGGACGACGCCACCGCCTTTCTTTGACGCAAAGTCACGCAGTGAATCGGATGACTCCTCCAAGAAAGGCGATGCTGAAAACCTCGCTGCCCCTTCCCTCCTGGAGAGCGTAGTGACGGCAGAAGAGTGGTCAAACAGATGCTCATCCACCTCAGGTCTTCCCACGTCGGCAACCACACCGCTCGCAGCCGTCGCCGCCCTCCTCTTGGAGTTGCCCGGCATAATCCAGGAGGCTGCTAACACAAGGGACTTTCCATCCCTCGCCTCCCTCCACCCTGATCAGATGATCTGGCGGGAAGGTTTGGCTCCGCCCCACCTCGTCGTCATGATCCCATCTGGCCTCGCTGCCCAGCTGTGACGTCACATTGGAACGAGGCTGCAGCTGGGCCCGGCAAGCTGAAGACCTCTGTCTCCACCTTCGCCTCCATCTCCGGAGAGGAGGGTTTTTACCGAATGGTGGTTTTTTCCCTCGGTTGTCCCCCCTGGAGTCAAGCTTGGTAGAGGCGCTTGGGGCAAAAGCTTTCAGTATGGACTGACAACCTATCCCTCCAGGAAAGCATGACCAGAGGGTGACAAAGCTCTCCAACCGAGCTCACCAGTGCACATCACAGGCGGTTCGCAGCGAACAACAACATAGCTCTGCTGGCCTACAGCATCTCAAACAGGCTGGAGGAAGCAGACCTGCTGGATGAGACAAAGCTCTCTCTGTAAAGCCGCTGACGTCATCTTAAACATGTGTGCCACCTCTGAGGTACGCCTGTCCCACATCGCCGCCCGGATGACCATGATCCAAAGGACCACCTGGCTCTGCCTCTCGCCATCCTTGTCCGAGAGGCTGCTGGAGGGCCCCATCACCCCAGAGGCGCTGTTCGGGGCCAACTTCAGGAACATCCTTGAGAAATCGCAGAGGTGCGAGGAGGTCTCCAAGACTGTACACCATCTGGTGACGTCACAGTCCTCCTCCCACCCCTCCGGCCGCTGGAGGGACCGCCTTGGCCAGCAACAGCAGCAGAGGCACTCCACAGCTGCGGCAGTGACTTCACGCTCCACTCCTCTGCCCGCCCCCTCCACCAGGTAACAGATCCTTGAGGGGAATGTATGTGTTTTTTGATGATGTATGTTTTGATATAAAACAAACACCTCTGAAAGTAAAGTGTCTGAGACAGTCTGAGACTGTCTGATCAGCTGATCTCACAGCTGCCTCTCTTCACACATTCCCCACACAGAACGAGCCAGTAACCTCTAAACAGCGTTTTCAATGGCACAAAACACACATCTGCCAAGTCAGCTAAAATTATGTTTTTTCAGCAGACCAAGTCCGATAAAATCCCTCGTTTTCAGCCAGAGCCTGTTTTTAATTTCTGCTGTTTTCTGCCCACTCACAGCGCAGCGGGAGTAAACGTGTTTCTCCATGACAGCTGCAGCCTCCACCGAAACAGCGTCTCACTCAGAAAGCGCTCACACCTCCTCTCAGTGCGCACCGACCTCAGCTCTAATGTGAGACCGCAGCCTGGGCTCAGCACAGATGGCACACATACAGCTCTTTTCTCTGTCAAAGCCCCCCTTGGGTTCCCCCCAGAGAATCTCTGGAGCGAGTGATGGCAGTAAGGCTTTTTAGTCTGGTTGACGTTCATGAGAAACATGACACAACACAAATGCGTGCCCGCTCTCCGAGCGTTACTCAGAGTGGCACCGAGTGTGTTCCGTGGACAGATGGACAGACCGTCTGATCAGCAGGGGTTACACGCTGCAGTTCGCAGCTCAACCCCCACCGTTCAGAGGGATTATAGAGGCGGTTCTGTTTTCTCCAGAGCAGAGCTCGTCTCTCCAGTCAGAAGTTCAGGAATTTCTGACAAAAAACGTGATTTCCAGAGTTCCCAACGGAGAGGATTTTTTTTTTCCACCCACTACTTCCTGGTTCTGATAAATAAATAAAAAAACGGAGGGATGAGACCCATTCTCGACCTATTCATGTTCAGCAATTCAATCATGGGGAGACAATTCCACATGCTGACAAACAGCTGCTGGAGAACTTCACCAGAACGACTGGTTTTCACCTCTATAGATCTGAAGAGCGCATATTTTCATATTTCCATCATTCTGAAACACCCCACGCACGTTCTCGAAATGCGTGGAGACGGCTCTGCAGTCGTTACATATGGCAGGAATGAGAATTATTTTTATCTGGACGATCTGCTCTTATTAGCTCGGTCCAGATAGGAAGCAGTCGCACAGACCAAAACGCTAGTGTTACACCTGCTAAACCTGGGGTTTCTATAAACTGGGAAAAAATTCCGTTCGTCCATCCCAGATGATTGCTTATCTGGAAGTGGAGCTAAACTCAACTACAATGAGAGCCCATTTATCACAGCTGAGAGCCGAAGCTCTATCAGCTCAGCTCCGCCTTGTCAAACCCTGCAGCATAGTGACAGTTCTGCTTGTCATGAGACTCCTGGGACGATGTCAGCGGCCCACATCGTGGTTCCGCTGGGCCTATTTTACATGAGACGCCTTCAGTGATGGTTCGCCCGCCTGCGCATAGATCCTGTGCGCCAGAAAAGGCGGATTATCTTTGTGCCCCCCTCCGTGAGAACCGATCTGAATCACTGGAGAAACCCTCTCATTCTGTCAGAGGGAGTTCTCATCAGCAGGCCTATGTCACATGTCTCAGTTTTCATAGACGCGTTCCTGTCAAGCTGGGAGGAATATGTCTGTTCCAGGCAGTGGGAGCACAGTGGCTGGACCACATGTCGTGTCACATAAATGTGCTAGAAAGTTTTCACGGTCTGAAACGTGACTCAGCATTTTGCTCCCCT